AAGAAAATAAGATACCTGAGAATAAACATAATTAATGAGGTAAGAGACTTATACTCAGAAAACTATAGGACATTAAAAAATGAAATAGAGGAAAATACAAACTGCCGGGAACCAATTCCAGCATGTCATAATTTCAAGAGTTTCATCAAAAGGTTGATGAGACTTGGGGACTCAACAGGGTTGAGTCACACATGTAGTCACCAGCTGAGAATGGCTAAAGGCATTTCCCCAAAACTGAATAGGATACATTAAATTGATTGTGGCTGCCAGACAGTTAAAGGACATCTTAATCTACATGTTATTGCCTCCTACTGGCCAAACGCCTGAACAGAACAGCCGTAGGCTAATTTCCCCATTCTGAAAATGGACTCTGTAACAAACCCTAACCCTTTGAAGTGTAGATCTCTGCCTCACCTCAGGACAAGTTGCGTTAATAAAAAGCATGGGGTCCTGGGGACAGAGAGAACCTAAGACCTTAGACTTAAGACCTGGATCTTAGCTCCTTTAGCTAAGCTCCTCTGAACCCCAGTGCCTTTCAAAATTATATTTCGTCTCTGGACTCTTTATTAGTCTCTGGATTCCTATGTCATCTACGCACAGCCCCTTCTCCAGATTCCTGAACCCTTCTTGATGCTGGGACAAGAACCCTGGCAACAAACAAGTAGAAGCATATACTATGTTCATGGATTAGAAGAATTAATATTATTCAAATGTCCATTCTACCAAAAGCAATCTACACATTCAACACAATCCCTATTAAATATTAATAGCATATTTCTCATATCTACAACAAATACTCCAAAAAGACCCCAAATAGCCACAGAAATCTTGAGAAAGAAGAACAAAGTTAGAGATATCATGATACTAGATAATAAACTATACTACAAAGCCATTGTAATAAAACAACCTGGTACTGGCACAAGAACAGGCATATAGAACAATGCAACAGGACAGAGACTCCAGAAATCAACCCATGCCAATATAGTCAATTAATATTTGAGAAAGGCTATAGAAGCATACAATGGAGTAAAGACGGTCTCTTTAATAAATGGTGTTTGGTAAATAGGACAGGTACATGCAAAAGAGAAAAAAGGAAGGAAGGAAGGAAGGGAGGGAGGGAGGGAGGGAGGGAGGGAGGGAGGGAGGGAGGGAGGGAGGGAGGAAGGAAGGAAGGAAGGAAGGAAGGAAGGAAGAGAAACTAGACCACCAACTTATACCATACACAAGAATAAACTCAAAATGAATAAAAGACTTAAATGTAAGTCATGAAACCATAAAAATCCTAGAAGAAAACATAGGCAGTAAAATCTCAGACATCTCATGTAGCAGTATTTTCACCAAAACATCTCCTAGGGCAGTGGTCGGCAAACTGCAGCTCGCAAGCCACATGAGACTCTTTGGCGCCTTGTGTGTGGCTCTTCCACAAAATACTGACTTCTGCGAATGGCCACGAAGTTTCAATCGCACTGTACATGTGCGCCCGCACATGGTATTTTGTTGAAGAGCCACACTCAAGGGGCCAAAGAGCCGCATGTGGCTCGTGAGCCGCAGTTTGCCGACCATTGTCTTAGGGCAAGAGAAACAAATGAAACAATAAACAAATGGGACTACATCAAACTAAAAAGCTTCTGCACAGCAAAGGAAACCATCAACAAAATTAAAAAGGAACCTACTGTATGGCTGAATAGGAAAACATATTCGCCAATAATACATATGATAAGGGTTTATTTCCCAGAATATACAAAGAACTCATACAACTCAACACCAGGAAGACAATCTAATTTAAAAATAGGCAGAGGACATACAGATGGCCAATAGACATCTGAAAAAATGCTCAATGTCACTAATCATCAGAGAAATGCAAATTAAAATGACAATGAGATATCACCTCATACCTGGCAGAATGGATACCATCAATAAATCAACAAGCAATTACTAGCAAGGATGTAAAGAGAAGGGAACCCTAGTACACTGCTGGTGGAAATGCAGACTGGTGCAGACATTATAAAAGAGAATGGAGGTTCCTCAAAAAATTAAAAATGGAACTGCCATTTGACCCAGCAATCCCACTTCTCAGAGTATATCCTGAGAATCCCGAAACACAATCAGAATAAATATATGCATGCTTATGTTCATAGCAGCATTACTTACAATAGCTAATATCTGGAAACAGCCCAAGTGCCCATCTGTAGATGAGTGGATAAAAAAGCTGTGGTACATTTACATACTGGAATACTATGTGACTATAAAAAGAAGAATCTCTTGCCCTTTGAGACAGCATGGAGGGACCTGTAGAGAATTATGTTAAGCAAAATAAGCCATTTAGAGAAAGACAAATTATCACATGATCTCACTTATATGTGGAATCTAATGAACAAAATAAATTGATGACAAAATAGTTCCAGCAGTATGGATGCATGGAACAGAATAATAAATCTCTAATGGTGGGGTTGGGAGGGGACAGGAAGAGATTAACAAAAGAACATACATGCATATATTCATAAGCCATGGACACATATAATAGTTTGGGGAAGGCCTGGGGTGGGGCAGGGGTTGGGTGGAGGGGGTCAAAAAGGGAGAAAGCGAGAGATAGCTATAATACTGTCAACAATAAAAAAATAAGAATAATAAAGAAATTTTTAAAGAATGATACTTAATACTAGTAAAAGATAAATATTTTATTTGAATGGTAGAAGTATTTTTAAATTTCTTTAACATATATATTTTTAAAATTTCATCTAAACATTAGTATTCAACCATTTAATACATTTTTTAAATACCTATTTCAAACAAGGCACTATGCTGAATGCAAATACAAATAAGATAAATCTCATCTATCAAAGAATTTAAGGAAACACAGTTGTATGCCATGGGCTTTAAGAAGTTTAGAGGTGAGATCCACATTGCACAACTCCAGGGGGAGACACGAGCCTAGACAATTAGAGAGCATTCCAGAGCACAACTTATGTTCCATCCCATATGAATGGTACTCCTCTCCTGATGAAAATCAGGGAACACATCACAGTGCTGGTGGCAAAAAACTGCTTTTGAAGAATGGGAATGATGAAGGAACTAATGTGTGTTCCAAGAGAGCCTAGCTGAAGTAAAGGGAGGGAGGCCGGAGCTTATGAGAAATGTCTACAAACAAGTATAACAGGCTAGTATAACTGAAGCCTATGTTACAACAGAAATGGCAGGATATGCCTGCTGAGAAGGTAGGGAGAAGCTGGTTCCCAGAAGGCTAAAAATCCCAGGATTAAATGTGGAACAAACTCAGCAGGCCATTTTAGAGGACTAGAGAGACAGATGTGTATAGGGTCAATAATAAGGGAAAAGAGTGGGAAAGCAAAGAGAGAAAATTAAAGGCAGCAGATACATATGGAGGACCTAAATGCAGTTCTTACAAAATGACTGGCCAGAGGGTTGCTGCAGGTAAAAGGCAGGAATGAAGAATGGATGGAGGGGATGTCACTATTACTGAGAAGTCAGAATTGATTTGTTCACTAACTAGAAACTGGACAGAGGTACAGGCACAAGGAAGAAGAGTCAAAGATAGTGTGCTGAAATATGAACCACATGCCTTTTCTCTCTACCGGCGGCCTCAGAGGAGATGACAATCTATATTGCATTCCCCGGCCAAACTGGTCACACAGCTAGCTGACCAGCTATGGACACCCAATTAAAGCAGGTGCCACCACATGCTCCTTCTGGTAGGCTAGACTTGGGGTCCAGCAAGACTAGGCTGAGCTGTGAGGCCCTGACTGAGAAGTCAAGGAGATGGCAGACAAAAACAAGGGCTAAGGGGTGGGTAGGGATGAAGAAGTCAGGCGGTGGAAAAGGGGAATGAAGCAACTACATGCAGGAAGAGTAGCAATTGCATTTTGTTGCCTCAGAAAATACAGATGCCAGAGCTGCCTCTTTACTGGTCAGTTTTATATTTCCCATCACTGGGTTCAATGAGGATGCTCTATATAGTTTCTAAATAATGTTCCTTTTAATTTGAGCTAGGTAGTGGATTCAACAACAATTTATTACACACCTATTTTATGCCAGGCATTGTGTTATATATGTACCACACGGAGTGAGTTCTTCTCTCCTGAAAGGGTCCTGATTAAAATGCCAGGTAAAGGAAGTCAAAAGGAAAAGCAAGCATTTGTTTTTAATCCTTTTTTTTTTCTTTTTCTGAAAGGGGCTTGTGAGGGAGTGATAGAGATATGACTGGTTTAGACATGTTAAGTTAGAGATCCTGGGAGGCCGTTCAGGTGGACATGTTCCACAGATCCCAGCAATATTGAGCAAGCACGTAAAAGAGTTGGAGGACTGAAAACACAGATGTGAGAGATGTCAACAGAGAGGGAATAATGCAAAGATGTTGCAGTGGATAAAATCTCAGGGTAGAAAGAGAAGAATCTAGGACTGAAGCAGGATTCACACATAAGAAATGGTAAGAAAATGACAAATCCTATCTTCAGTTCTCAGTTTATTAATCCTCCCCTCCAGGAAGAACTCCCGAGAGCTCCTTCTACTCTGGGACCCACTGCACTGGGTCATAGGAGCCCTGCCTAAGATCCCACACAGCCTGGGCTCCACCACGAGAGCTCCTGGAGGGAAGGAGCACATCTTGTTGCCTGGTGATGCCCGGCACCCAGCACCTCTCAGGCTCCTTGTTTGTGGAATGAATGAAAGAGGACTTGGAAAGGAAGTAGAGTTAAGAGAATGCTATGTGACAGAAAGCAAAGGAAGATGGAAAATTTCAGCCACTGCCAAAAGGAAAATTAGGATGAAGTCCAAGAAAAACAACAACACATCGATTTAGCCATGGAGTGGAGTATGCTAACCAGTCCCAAACCCAAATGGCACATATGATGAGGATAATATACTAGTAGGTTATTTCAGAAGTTTTAGACAAAGGATTTAAAGACATACTTCCAGATTTGACAGAGAAGATAAATATGTGTAGAGATTACAGCAAAAAGCTTTCTCATATTTGCCCCACTTGCCTTCATAGCCACTGTTTGAAAAAGTGGAAGACCCGGATTCTTGCTTTATATTGGTATAAAAGGTCACTTCAGAGTCACTTTGATCATTCCCAAGTGACCCACTGGCTTCTTCTATACTCCAGTTCTCTGTGTGCTGTTGACTCAGGATGTTACACTTCATTTTCTCCATTGCTGATATAATCATATCTGCAGCATAAAAGTGGGCATTTTCCTATAGAAAAAAATCAGTTAAAATACAAAAGGATAATCAACTTTTTTTCATTGAGGTATATTACATTTTTAAAACTCAAGAAGCAGGCACTCTCCTTCCCAGGGTCACACCTGTGCCTTTCCCTTTCCTTTTCCTTCCCTCTCCCACACCACCCTCCCCCCCCCCCCCCACCCCAGGCACATTACCATTAGGTTTCTCACTCTCAAGCTCCAAGGGCTCTTCCTTTACCTCCATAAATCCTCTCCTAAGCCCATTTCTTCTAGGAACTACTTTTTCTACCTCTGTAGTTTACCAAATAAATATTCTCTTACAAAAAAATAAATAAAAATCAAGAAGCCGTATTTAAATGGAGTTAATTAGAGGTTATTATGTAAAGTATAGTCCATATCTTCCAGACATAAGACTTAGTCCACTGCAATCAATAAATAACCCAATTTGAATTTCTTGTGATATAAAACCCTAGGTTGGTGATGGCCCAATGGTTGACATCATTCATCAATTATGGCAGACTTTCCAGCTGAACATAGACACTGCCTCAGAACCCTTCTCAGCTTGGGGCTCCTGGCAGCCTCCACCCTCTAGCAATCAAATGCTGAAATGAAACCTACTTGCCATGCCTCATGAAGTGAAATTTCCAAATTTAAATTATAACAGCACTATCTAAAGGATTAACACTCTTTGTGGCATAAAAAAATGTAAAAGTAAAATATTCACCTTTTCTACATCAACTGGATGCACAAATGCTTCTGCTGAGAAGGAATTTAATGAAATGCTTCTTCTATTGATTTGAACAGCACCTGACAATACAGCAAGTTATTAAAAATAGAGAAAAAGAAGTCCAACGATTATTTAAGAAAACAAAATAATTCTAGAGAGTGGCTTTTAAATATTGTTGCTGTTTTTTAATTAGCACAACTCTAGAGTAAATTAGGATGACAAAAGAAGAATGAACCTTCTGGTGGTAAGGCTTGCAGATATTGTCTTAAAGGTTATCATTCTACAAGAGGCCATTGGAACAATAAGAACACATGGAAGAACCCTGGCATGGAGGAGACCGATGAGGTAGAAAGAGAAGAGAGCCATGGAAACTACCTAAAGGAGATGAAGAAAGGTGAGAAGAAACAGCCTAGAAAAAGCCATAAGAATCATGGAATCACTTTTCTAACTCACTGAAATTGACCAAACTTCCTGTTTGCAAAAACAAAGTATCTGAAAAATGTCAGCTTTGTTTCACTAAAATGGTCTTCCTCTAATCAAAAACAAGAAGAAACTGCAGAAGGTATATTCAGCTGACTCATCCAGTCTGTACCCTTAAGCAACTCCATTAGTGGCAATGAACACCAGCAAAACACATGTGATTTCTTATTGTAGCATTTAAGTCAAAACATTTTTGTGAGAGCCATAAAAGCTGGCTTGTACCAATCCACTGAATTAGAAGAAAATGCTGCCAATGTCTTGATGATTATACAGCTCTCCGGGTGACAGAGAGACAAGCAGGATCACTCAAATCCCTTGCCTCATCTTCAAGGAAGCCACTGTTCCATGGAAAACTTTTTTTTTTTTTTTTTCAGAGCAGAAGGGGAGGGAGGGAGAGCTAGAAACATCAATAATGAGAGAGAATCATTGATAGGTTGCTTCCTGCACGCCCCATAATGGGGATTGAGCCCGCAACCTGGGCATGTGCCCTGACCAGGAATTGAACCGTGACCTCCTGGTTCTTAGGTTGATGCTCAACCACTGAGCCATGCCGGTCGGGACCATGGAAAACTTTGAACCTCTTGGAATCAGAAGCCATCTGGAGTGGGCAATTTTTTTCAGAAAAGATCAACTAGCTAGTACATATTGTAGAATATGAGGTCCATATGGCATTTGTTCGGACTACTCAGTTTTTCCACTGTAGTGAGAAAGCAGCTATAAACAAAACAAGCAAAGTTGTTATTTGTAAAATCAGGAGGCTGGCCGAATTTGACCCAGTCATAGTTTTGGACCCTGAACATAGAGAAAAGCACAGAGATGAGTCAGACAGTGCAGATTCCAGTTCCAGCTCTCCATTGCACCAGCTGTGTCTACGCATTAAAATTTCCTCATCTTTTGAACTGGGGTAATTATCCACTGAGTTAAAAGAGTAAAGAATGTGAAAGTGCTTTGTAAATGTGTAGATCCTATGCAAATGAAGGAAGTGTGGAGTTGTTTCTGACAGCACAAGGGGTCTTTCCCTACCATTTTATCTAGCAAAGGAAAACCCTGCTGCTGCCACTGGAGATGCAACAGTCACAGGAAAATCCCACGTCGTAGAGGCAAATGCCTGTTCTCCCCATTGCTGCTGCCCACACCAGAAAGAACCTGATCACTCCGGATTTTTATTTTTAATCCCATGGAATGAATCCCTTAACCAAGTTAAAGAAATACTCCTAAAAGAAAGAGTGGTTTTGTAAAGGTACTTAGATTGTTTGGGCTGGGGTACCTATTTTCTATAAAGACAAAGTTACAGGATAATTTAAAATTGCAGAACCACTTCTATGCAGTGATATAACAAATGATTTGGGTCACGGGTACACTAGGCCCTAAAGAGACCCTCCTGTCACTATATAACTTGTCATACTGGTGGTGGTTTGCAGGGGAGAGGGCTTTCCCTTTTCTCCATGTTCTCCTCACTCTCCCCTGTGAGGCAATCTAATAGGAGACTAACCTCTTATCTGGCAACCACTAAATTTGCAAATTACTCTTTGCCTGAGAACTATCCCAGCAAATGAGCAAAAATACAGAAAAAAGCCAATAATCAAAGTGTTTTATTTTGCTCAAATTTGGTTCTTATTCAGTTAGTCCATTGAAAGATTGCCCCAAATCTGCTATTCTTCAGCAATGATTAATGTGTTGAAGACTATCATCATCTCTGACTTTTCAAAGTTTCCAATAGAACTAATAAACCCCATATTTTAGCAAAGGGGAGGACTGGTTCCTGCTAGTGAGATATAAATACATGCAAGCATACAAACTTACACACAAAACATGGACAGCTTTTAAAATTGTTTTGACAGAAAAAACTTCATTGACTACTTGAACTAGAGTTCTAACAGAAATATAAATTAATGCAAAGCATGACTATAAAATAATGAATATTTTAAAGTAAAGTAAGCATGCTATAAATTATAACAATAGCTAATTTATTGACTCCTCGGTGGCATTTTGCATGGATTATATCCTTTTAGGAATTTCAGTATTTTAGGAATATGTGCATTACCTCATAGCAATGGTAGCCCTTAATTTGTATAGCCTTTGGGAAATTGTGGTTACTATTTTTAAAACTGACTGTTTTCTAGTCACACTCTATCCAAGTAAATATAACAGGAAAGGCAAGATCATCTCCTAGTAAGTACTGGTGTGCTGGTGTGCAATGGAGCCCATTCTTTCTGGAAACACCAGCACAGTGGATTGAGAGTACTTCCAATGCCCTGTCTTGTGGGCAATTTCATAAGCTGGAAGTCCCTGAAGGCACACATGAGCTCAAAATTAACTGGTGATGTTGATTTTCAACTACATTGAGCTAGGATGGCATTTCCCTGCAGTCTAAGGAGAAAGGAAATACTTGATTTCACAGCTGTAACGGTCCAGGTAGATGGGCCAAAGACAATATTAAATGAGTTAATGCACTGGCTTCTGGTCTAAGAGTAAACCCATGACATTTTTTTTATGAGGAAGACAGTGGGGCAGGCTTTAGACCTTTAGACCAAGACAAAGCAAGTGTGTGAATGGACAAGAATGAGGAAAGTCCCTAACTAAAGTTACCTTCGTCAGTGGAAGCTGTCAGGTGAGAAGGCTTGAAACAAGCACTGTCAGCTTCAGAACATAGGGAAGCAGTCAAAATCTTGGAGCTTGTGAACGGAGACATCCAAGGAGAGCGTCCTGGGGGTACTGCCCGCTCTTGTGTGGGGTTAAAAGAAAAGTCACTGCTCTTTTTACCTGAGCTGCCCATGGAGTCCACAGTGTCCTTCCACAATGATGTCTCCACCATGGAGTTCTCGAGAGACAATGGTGAAGTGCCCAAGGGAGAGGTAGCATCCCCCACAAAGTTGCTGCCAATGTTCCCCACTGTTGGCACCTGAAGCGGCAAGTCCTGCAGCTGAGGCTGCATATCCTGGGGGTTAATCCAGGCAGCTCTGTGCCTCGTGAACCTGACGTCTGATGGGCAAGAGGGGTAGTCAGTGTCCAGGAGGTGGGGTGAACCATCAGTGTCACCAGAGTCATCACTCACCCCTTCCCAGGGCTCCACAGGAAAATCCTGCTGGTCTGAGGACTGTGACACCATCTTTCCAGGCTCAGGGCTGATGTGAAATTCCGTTGTCGTACTAGATCAGGGCCTTGAACTCACCATGTGCCAGCAAGAGGGCTGGAGAGTTTATCTGCAGTGAGTAAGAATCATTCAAGATAAATGAGGGCTCAACCATATTTTTTAAAGCAATTTCCGTTGAGGATGTAAAAAATAAAGAGTTTGTACTTCACCCTAAATAACACAGTTAATCCATTTGGATCTATAAGTCAAAAAAAAAAAATAAAATCAGTGTGGTGAAGGCCTGGGGTGCAGAGCAGAGGCAGGTTAGAAAGGGACAATGGCGGGGGGGGGGGGGGGGGGGGGAGGGGACGTTTGTAATACTTTCAACAATAAAGATAAAAAAAATAAAATAAAATCTGTCATAAACTAGCAGCAAACATGGGGGTATGAAAGGGTTTTCAAAACATAAAAATAATTGAAGAGTGTTTTTATTATAAGGATAAAGTTGTATAAGGATACTATTGATAAAACAGATAAAAATGTAAAACACCCATGCATTATTCCAATAAAAGTAAATGTCAAAACCAAATTGGAAATATTATCTACAAGTAAAGGCACATTTTCATAGTTTCTTATTTTTATTTAGTTTGTGTTTGTATTTCAACAAAGTAGACAATGGCACATGAGATTCTGAACAATCAATAGCACTAAAAACTTTGTTTCAGCCCTGACTGGTTTGGCTCAGTGGATAGAGCGTCGGCCTGTGGACTGAAGGGTCCCGGGTTCGATTCCAGTCAAGGGCATGTACCTTGGTTGCAGGCTCATCCCCAGTGGGGGGTGTGCAGGAGGCAGCTGATCGATGTTTCTCTCTCATCAATGTTTCTAACTCTCTATTCCTCTCCCTTCCTCTCTGTGAAAAATCAGTAAAATATATTTTAAAAAAACTTTGTTTCATGTAACTTATATTAGCATATAATGTTTATATTATAATAGCAATATAAATTTATGATAAGTTTATCATAACTAAAGAACACAGTGTAAATCTAGAATCTATCTAAAATATAGTCTGCTCACTTTAAGCTGTTTTTAGCTTTGGTAAATGAGGTAATGATTAAAATGTCAAGAGCTTCACAAATGAGAAGCACGCTCATCACTGTAATTACAGGCCCAGCACAGTGTCTTTCTACTCTTCTCCCACTGTCCTTCACACTATAAGGCTTCAAAGCAACCATCAACAGCAAAAACAAGGTCAGAAAGGGAAAGACCTAGAAACAAGCATTCTGCTTAGGTGAGTTTTACCTAAATAAAGGGTGGGGCACCCGGTGAGTATGAGAGTTTGGAGTCATTTCCAGGGTTTTCAATACCATCATTATGTATGTAGATGGCTCCCACATGGATCTCTATTCCTGACCTCTCCTCGAACTCCAGGCTAGCATATTTTACTGCCTGACATATGTCCAGTGGGCATCATAACATGATACATCCCAAAAAGACACTGATTTCCCCCAAACCTGTTTCTCCCTGGTTTGCTCCATCTCAGGAAGAATACCTTCCGATAGCTGAAGCTACAAAATCTAGGAGTTATCTCTGATCCTATATTTCCCTAGCAAGTTTATATCTATACCTACCACCCTATTCTAAAAGTCACCATCTTCTCCCACCTGACCCTCCTCTATTTTTCCAATGGGTCTCCCCACTTCTACTCTTATCTATTTATAATCAAAAGGTATTCAGAGAGATTTTTTTTATAAACCTATATCAGATCCCTGTAATTAACCTCCCCCCAGACCCTGCCCATAGCTGCCCATCAAATCGGGAATAAAATCTAAAATCCTTACCTTGTCCTTACAGCATGACATGTTCCTGCTTTTCTCATTTATCTTTGTCCAAACCAGGCAGCAACCTTTTGAGTCCTATAAACTCTTGCACACCCTAGTCCCTCTGCCCGGAATGTTTTTCCTCCAAATGATCACTCATCTGGCTCTTTTCTGTCTTGTTGCATGCCTTGGTTTATGAATTACTTCCTCAAGAAGTCTTTCCTAACTACCTAACTTAAAGTAGTTCCCCTATTATACCCTATCACATCACCTTGCTTAATTTTCATCAGAGGAGTTCTCACTTCCTGGTATTTTTATTAGCTCTTACTGTCATTCACCTCCACCACCAGACTATAAGTTCCATGAGAGTAGAGGCCTTGTCTGTTCTCTGCCAGGTCACAGAGTTGCATACAAGGACTCAAAAAAAAATTACAGACTAAATGAACAAATCCAACGAAGTGGAAATAAAGTCACAAGCTGGAGAAACAATTTCTGTGATAGATATAACTGCTTTATTATTGTGGCAGAATTGTTCATACAGAGATAGAAATAATCCATGTTTCATAAATATATGAAAATTTTCTCACCCAGCAAATAGACAAAAAGATATATGAAAATGCTATGAAAAATCCTTGGCTTTTGTCTATTGGGGGATCTTCTGCTCGAGGTCACATCTTTTGGAGTAATGTAAGATATGTTTATATGCCAACCTGAAACCACTATACAATCTCCAAATCATCACTCACAAAATATCACAGAATACGGTGATAACTGGCAGAACTTGCTACCCTGAAGTGCTTCATCTTCCTTCTCCTAACCTAAAATCTTACCTTGTATCTCAATTGCTCTTTGTCACATCTTTTCCTCTCCAATAATTTTAAATGTTATAATTACAAGAGAAAACCATGACTATGCTTTAATAAAATGTCCAAAGCACAGAAGCCAAGAGCAGAAAGTGAAGCACTCTGATTGCACCAAGCACCACCAACCCTACTTCATTCCCAGACATAACATTGTTAACCATTTTATTCCTCCGAGACCTTTTCTTATGAGTTAACATACATATGTCAGATCAGAAATATGCTTTGTTTTCTTTTCTATATACACACATGGGATTATACTGGCCATATTCTATAACTTACCTTCTTTTTCTCTCAATACTATGTCTTGAGGGTATGTATCATATCATTCTTCTTAACTGTCTTACCACTTGCTATAGTATAAATGCATCATAGTTTACTTAGATGCCTATTGATGGAAATTTATTTTTAGTTTTCACTACAAAGAGTATACAGCAATGAACATCTTTGCTCACATTGCTTCTTGTTGACTTTCTTTCACCAAATCTTTTCTGTTACTAGTTCCAATTTTAATTCTGCCTCCATAGTTCATGATGACATTCTCTATTTCCAAGAAAATGATGTCATGTTTTACTCTCAATTCTCTATACTTCATATCTGTTTTTGTGTGTGGTTGAGAAGGCTAAAAGGCTAATTCCAATGTAACCCTGATGTTTGGGGGGCTAGCAATCTGAACCTGTGCAGTAACCTAATGTACATTCTTGATAACCTATAATTAAGTCACTGCCCCTTTCCCACAAACTGCTCTTGCAAGACCTGATACTTAAATGCTCACATTTTACAAAGGCCATAAACCATGAACCCCCAGAGGGGGTTATCAGCGCTGGTGCCAGGCCAGGTCCTTAGATATGGCCTCAAGGCTCCCATTCCAACACACGGGGCTTTTTGCAAACCCCATGAAAGGTCCGGAAGTCCCCATCCATATTTGGGGGGTCAAGAAACCAAAGGGAATAAAAGAAGGGCTTCCACCATACTGGTTTGCTCAGACTTTGGAGGCAACTTCTCTGAGACTGCCAGTGTAATAAAGCTGTGTAACTCCATTTCTCTAAGTGTCACTTGGGTTTCTTTGGTCTTCTACAACATGGGAGATGACAGATATAAAAAATGAAAAATACAAAGCCTCAAAAAAATCCCTGTATTTTTTATAAACAGATTAAAGTCAATAATTCAAAAAGAATATTATTTACAAACCTCCCAGGTACAGAATTGACTTAACTGCCTTGAGCAAAACAGACTTCCTTATAAAAAGTAATTTTCAGAAGTAGGTGCTTGCTCCACTTCCTTTAGAAAGGTATTTTTGCTTCACACAAATGGGTGTTGGCTTTTCCAGGTTATAAAATGAGACTCTTTGAGAGCTGAAATAGGCCCACAGAGATCAAAGCCATGTCTAAGGTCACAACTGGGTAGTGGATGACAAGCCAGGTTGAACACTCATTAAGGAGCATGAGTTTCTCTGAGAGGCAGATTGACATAGAGGAGAGAGTAATGATTGGACCTTACTGATAAGTCCAGGCCCTACTGATAAGAGGTCAACATGTCCATTTCTTAATCTTTAGGTAAACCATAAGATACTATCATATAGTTGCTAGTTGTGTTGCTTGTTGCCACATTGCTTGAAGTCTGTTAATTATTCAATTAGACAAATATTTCTTGATCATATACTACATTGTTTTTATTTTGGTAGCACTGGGTTAACAGTTGTGACTAAAATAGGCTTCCTGCCCTCCAGTTGTTTATTCTGATGGAGGGAAGATAGTGACTAAACAAACATTCATATATTCCAGGTACTGACAGGCAGTAGGTAATGTGTCTAAGCAATGTGTGACATCTTTTCAAAGTGCTTCCCACTGTCATAAATGGGGTCCTTTGAATAAGAGATGGTTAGGTACAAAGATAAAATCAATTTCCAAAAACATTTTAAAGGTAGAGAAGTCAAGTTGCAAAGCTTACCATCATTTCTATTGAGATTTTCCTACACAGGCAGCTGCCAAGGCCCTAGAGACAAAGAGAGACCCTAAAACTCCCCAGCCAAGTCATTATAGATGGGTCCCTGTCCATTGGTCAGTGGTCTTGTCAAGAATGACTACATCACTAGGGCTGCTTCAGAGCCACATTATTGGCTGCAAAGATGCAACCTTTTTAAGAGTGTTGGGCATGAGCCACCATGACCTTTATGGGGACCTCACAAAAGTCTTTCAGACCATAAGCAGCCAGTATTTTGTTGGCAGATGAGTGGCTTTAGATCCTAATTTTTCTAACAATGTTGAAGTTACTCCATGAATTGTCAGACTTAGGATTTAGAATTTCTCTGCCCCAGCACTACTAACTGAAAACACAAATAGTACCATCATAGCAAAGACTCATCTTAAATGTTAATTCCTCAGTGAGACCTCCCTGGTTACTCTATAAATAATGGCAACTGTTCCTCTCCCTAAAAGTTCCACCCCCTTCCCAATTCTTATTTTTCACTTTACTCCTTAGCACTAATCCCTATTTTATTGAAGCTCAGTGACTAATAACCACTAGAATGTAAAATCTCTGAGATCAAGTTTTAAACATTTTTTATTTTAGATATTGTTTTGTTCCCTGAACTAGAAAGAGGCACATGTAGGTGGTCAATAAATATATTCTGAGTATATAAATGAAAGAATGAACAAACAAATGAACAGTATCTAAGTATGGTTATGTTGATAATTTCTGTTGCCCAAAAAAGAAAGTCAAGAAAAGATGTCACCCTTTAGAAAAAATTGGAGATCATAACCTGAAATGTCTGCCAACCACTTCCTTAGAAAGAATGTTAGAGAATAGGAATTACAAACAAGACGTGAGGATAAAAAATGAAATGAATGGATCTTTAACCATAGCATGTGAGCTCTTTGGTTAACACAGTTCCCCAGAACCTCTTCACCTCTTTTTGTAACCAAGCACTTCCCTTCATGCTTTGACTTTAAACAAAGATTCACATTCCCAAAGATGTTGATAGACTCAAACGATCACATATCAAATAGAAACCATGAAGATGTTCAATAATGTGATGCCACAGCTTCCATCACAGTGGCCAGGAATTTCACAGAACTGCACCTTCACCACAGTACGTGCTGAACACTCTGTTCTAATAAAGCACCAGGAGGGAAACATATTGCAACGGTGGCATCACATGGACTTCTCTACAACCAATTTACCCTTTAGCAATGACTCTTAGTTTTGAAGGTCTGTTGTCAGAACAACACAAAGGAAGCACAGAAAATAGTTAAGAGAAATAGGTGGGGTGGGTGGGGTAAGAAGGGAAAACCCAATGAAGGCAAAGATGAAGGAACGCTAGGTATTTTATCTAAAAATACTTCATGGTTGCCCAAGACACATAAATAATTAACATCCTGTGGTCATTACATTTGTCATGCTTTCCAATCTCACTCTACACAATGATTACTTGTGATATTTCAGATTTTATTATGCCTATTTGAGAACTGAAATGGAGACCATTAGGGGACTTGCCCAAAGTCTCACCACTAGTAATTAGCAAAAGTAGAACAAAAACAAAAGTCTGACACCTGATCCAAAGCTCTTTCCACTGGTATTTACATGTTCCGTTTGGACTAAAATTAGCAAGAAATTTTCTATTTCATTAGCAAAGTAATTTGTAAATTTCTCCCATCAGATTTGTCACAAAAAGGATTAAGAACCACACAGCTATTTTGGTTTCATGTATTTAGAACAGTTTTCTCCTGACTTTTATGATTATGCCTCCTTATTTATAAAAAAATCTTTACACATACATCTCCAATACAGAACTATTTATAATATTTAAATATGCATAGCTATTCTAATGCATTATTCTATATAATAAAAGCCCAGCGACCAAAACAGTGGAACGACCAGAACACCACAGCCCCCAGGGAGTGGTTAGGGGCAATGAGGCAGGCAGGCAGGTGAGTGATTAGGGGCAATGAGGCAGGCAGGGAGAGGTGGTTAGGGCGATGAGGCAAGCAGGTGAGTGGTTAAGGGCAATGAGGCAGGCAGGCGAGTGGTTAGGGGCAATCAGGCAGGCAGGTGAGCAGTTAGGAGCCAGAGGTCCTGGATTGTGAGAGGGATGTCCGCAGCGGGATTGGGCCTAAACCGGCAGTCGGACACCCCCCAAAAGGTCCCGGGTTGCGAGAGGGTACAGGCCGGGCTAAGGGACACTTCCCCATGCACGAATTTTGTGCACTGAGCCTCTAGTATAATTATAAAGCATACATGAAAATAGCATTTGTTCTCACAGTGAATCATCTTGTATCCTAAAGGAATATACCCTCCACATTGGAGACCACTGCTTAAGTAAAGTTCAACTTAAAACCTTATACATAAAAATGTAATAACTAAAAATGGTATATATGAATATGATTAGATAACTAAGACTTAGAAAAATTATTCATACAAAAATTTACCTAAAGTAAGTGTAGGTACTTACACTTGAAAAGATGGCTAAATCCCCATGTTTGGGAAAAATAAAAAGAGAAGCCATATTAGAAAACAGCTGGCAGTTCCCCAAATGGTTAAACATACAGTTAACATTTGACCTAGCAATTCTACTCCTGGATATACCATGGTATACCAAGAGAAATGAAAGCATGTGTTTACACAAAAATTTGTACATGAATTTTTTTAAAAATATATTTTATTGATTTCAGAGAAAAAGGGAGGGGGAGAGAAAGATAGAAACATCAGTGTTGAGAGAAAATCATTGATCGGCTGCCTCCTGCACACCTCCTATTGCGGAACAAGCCCGCAACCTGGGCATGTGCCCTTAACTGGAATCAAACCCAGAACCCTTCAGTCTGCAGGCCGACGCTCTATCCACTGAGCCAAACCAGGTAGGGCTGTACATAAATGTTAATATGGATTAGAATAGGCAAATCCATAGAGACAAAATGTAGATCATTTTTTGCTTAGGGCAGGGAGAGGGGGATGGGAAGATAGGGAGTAACTGCTAAATGGTACAGAATATCTTTTTGAGGTTCTAAATGTTCTAAAACTA